AAAAAAGTGCATGTGATATTAACAGACGAACTGTTAATTATATATTTATAATTCCAAACAATCAGTAAGTGACAGGTGCTAGGAAACGCTGTTTTTTTACTCATTTATTGACGAGTCGGCTGCGGTGAGGCCAACTGAATGCACTGCTCACTGCACAGAACAAACGCCGAGAGAGGCGACACTTCTCCGGGAAAGTCAGACCTCGCGTTCGCGGGACAGCACTGGCGAAATCTTCCAACTGAACCATAGCTAAGGTTTATCCAAAAAAAGTAGCTAGGTTTGTCAGTATGAATATTCTATAGAAAAAAGCCGCTAAAAAGGTCTGAAAGTTGCTAAATCTAGTGCTAAAGTCGCGCTCTGTTACCACAATATCCTCATGGAAAATATGGAAAAAGATTCAATTTATGACTAGTAGTACAATAATGAGAAAGCATAGGCAGTATGAAACTATGCTCTATGTTTTATGCCTGTTTAGTATGGCTGATGTGTGTGTTTGTAGTTTGGATTTTTGCAAAATGGGCTGTATTTGAGATTTAATATTGAATGTCTTTAATGATGGGCTTTTGGCAGGACCGGGTGTGTGCAGCTTTGAAGAGGCTTGTTGAGGTGGGGGTTTCTGATGGTTTCCAGTTGTTGATGTAAAGGGTCTGGAACAGTTTCAGACCCCTCCTCGCACATGTCTTACATAGAATATCTAACGTCTTGCTTAAAGTAACTTCAGGACATTTTTCATGGACATATGTGTGATATTCTCTTGTCCCAGCACTTAAATTGTGTAATCTTTCTCGTTTTAGATGTTAATTAAATGTGCCGCAAAGAATATTATGTCCATAAATATACAATTATCTATATATTCAAATTATGATTATTATAAATTATAATAATAATCATATAAATTATGATATGGTAAATGTCCAACTTTGAAATACAGAAATGTCTCATAATGAACAACTTAGATGAAAATGCCCTTTAAATATACTATTTACTTTGCAATCTCTTGGAGTTTTCCAAAAAATGTTGCAAAGTCCCCCCCCCCCCCCCAC